CTGCAAACCTGAACAGCAAGAAGAAAAAATGCAACGAAGAAAACAGAACGTTTCTTAGACATCTCACAGATAAAAATACGTACAAGTAATAAAGGAACAACAACACCAACAACAGAAAGCCTTACCATGATGTTTGCACAATTGTGTGTCTGTAGCCCATGCTATAAATGTGGATCCCTTCTATTCCCATCATMTCAGCCCCTCTAGTGGCCAGTACCTGAAGATCTTGCTTCAGGAGGGACAGGATCTACCAGTATGTACCATTTGCTGCTGCTCCTGTATCTTGTCAGAGATCTTTTTTTTTCTTAATTGTGTAATTTTTTTCTGGAGATATAACTTGTCACCTTTTATTAGCATTTTTTGTCAGTGCTGCTGCTACGTGCATACATTTAATTGCTAAGCAACAAAGCGGAAGCTCTGCACAGTACATTTCACTTACTGCATTCCCTCTGCTATGCATTGTTACTAGTGCGCTTACATAATACAAAATACAAAAAAAAAWGTGGAAAATATTTATTTCTGTTTCTATAGCATCTAGAAGTCACAATCTGGAATCAGGCTCCATTGCACTAGCCGCCAAGCAGAGAGCTAGCAATTTAGGATGAGAGCAAATGAAATGATGCAAAGTCGAGTTAAAAGCAGAGATGAGCTTGCACAGATGAATAAGCTAAAAGGCTCAGAAGTGACTATCCACCTAGAGCTAGATTACAGCGATTTTCGGCAACGAGGGAACTACCTCTGTGGCTAAAATTCTTCAAATACTTGAGGCGTTTACAAGCGTGGTGGCCTCAACAGCACGAATCAGTAATGCTACTAAAGCTTACCCACAGCAAAGCAAGCCCTTTAACAGGTATTAAGCAGCCCCAAAAGTGGTGTACTTCCTGAGCACAACCCCAGTGACAGAGATCTCTGAAGGAGACTAACGAGGAAAAAGCAGGAGTGAAAGGTTAAGCAAACAAACCCCAGGAAGAGATGAATCTTTAAACACTGGGTTTATAAAGTTTGGAAGGATATATCTGCAAGGTATCAAGAAATAATCTCTCTTCCTGTCTCTGTCTAAAAGAGTAGAAAAATAAGGACAAGCAAGATTTTCTTACCAAAAATAATGAGAAGCTTGACTGTCTGTTTTTCCCATCCAGCTGTGCACTTGCCCCTACAATTGAAAAGCACAGTGGAATCTGCACTTGGTGTGAACTCAGGATTGCTTTTTTTGTTTTGGGTTTTTTCTTTTTTTTCAGTTTATCATCAAAGAGACTGCACTTCTGTCTTTGATTTATAGAGGAATAGATCTGTTTACAAGAGAATTCTCTGTACTCCTAAAATGCARCACCACAGTGCTCCATCTCTGCTCCTGCTCTTGGCACACTCTTATTGCTACCATTACACCCTTCATAGGCAGCTTTCCATGCCCAGATAGAGACTGCCTTATCTGCAATTTCCAGGGAGAAAAGCCTCCTGGAAAAGCAAGCTATTATTTTTTTCAGGTGTACAAACTCGCACAACCACATATGACTATTTTTGTTCTTTCAGGAATTCTGGCCCTGGGCTGACTCTCTGTAYCCCTCTGACATCTCCCATGCAACACAAAATGGATCCAAGTAGGCTGCAATAAACCAGTTATGAAGACCTGGTGGAACCCTCCCAAACTCTATTTCAGTATACAGAATATCAAGCATGATAAGTGGCATTGTATGTGAACTATTAACCCTAAGGATGAAGGAGAGAGTTCACGGACATTCATATAGGCAGTCCTGCCAAGTAGCACCAATATTTCCTCTGGGCTCCATCATTTTTACATAAAACCATCCAATTAATACCTTTTTAGAATAACATGAGTAATTTTGACCCAAACTCACATTCAATAATTAGTTATKTGAAAAAGATGCAAAGAAACTGAACTTTTATAATAAACAATGACTCCTGTCTAATTTGGTGGAACTGAGATGGTGATTTTGGAAGCAGCATCCTGTATATTCATTCCCATGGGAAGATCACAGGTTCTAAAYGAACCATTGTAGGAGCCTACACAGAACATGACCAAATTCCTAAACTAATTAAAAATAACTAAAACAGTACTTAATCATACAAAAAAAAAAGTACTTAATCATACAAGTGCTTCTGCATTAAGTTACTCAGCACATTATTTAACCCCTGCAACACTTTTGTGAGTACATTCTTACATTCTCTGAATTCCTCTTTTGTAAGAGGGGAAATGAATGATCAGAAAGGCCATATATTTCTAAGAATCAAATTCCATACTGTCTTGATCCCAAACAGATGGCCAGGTACTTAATTAGCCTCTGGGAAATCTATTTCCTGCCTCCTGTGTGACTGCAGATGAATTCCACACAGAATCGAGACAGATTTGTGAGAAAATATACAGAATAAAATGACCGAGTTTTCAGAGGAAAGCAGTGGTTTTCTTGTGATCCACAGACTGCCAGTGCTGCATGGACTAAGGGCTTCCCAAAAGACAACACAGAAAAAAAAATGTAGTGCCAGTAGACTTAAGCTCACTATATAGTAGTTCACAGCATATGCTTTTAAGACAGAAATTTTGAAAACCCACCAAAATGTAAATGAATGGCACATTATATAAACTATGTGTGCTAATAATAGAACTCTATCTTTCCTCCACCATTTAACATCCTACCATTCAAAAACTACTGAATGAATGTTTGCTTCCCTATTTTATAAAATATAAATTAAGAATTCCTGTATTTATCATTAATTAAGGTAAGTATCATGGTTTCTATTGCTTAGCTCAGGCTCACATGAGAAAAGACAGTAAGATTAACAGCTTTGATGGGATTTTCCTGAGGAATGGCCTAAGCAGCAAATACATTTGGACTTAGTACCTATTGCTGAACTTCGCTTTCTTGAAGTCAATGACTCAGGCAATGTTCCAAAACTTTCAGGATTCAACTCTTAGTGAAGAATCTAGTGTGACTGTGTAACATCACTACTACTATAGAATCTACTATGTATTCCATGAATTTTCATTCTAGTGGCAACACAGGCAATATAGCCTATAGGAACAAAGCATAAAATTGTCTCTTATGGCCATTTTAAACACACACTTTACTACACAGAGGTCTGATAAATGCTTTGCTATTCTCACATTTTTGCATTTGCCCCTTCCTTCTTTCAAGGAAAAAATGTGGTCATAGCTTATTTGGCTTGCAGAAGCTCAAGAGGAAAATACAGAGGCTGAGCATTGGTTTTAATATTGCAAGCCCAGAGACCATGAGGATGAAGCCTCCGTGTAAACAGGGGCCATGGATCTCCACCAGTGATACAGGAGCAGTGGGCAGCACTGCTGGAATTTGGAAAGGGAACTTCCTTCCCGATGCAGTCCCATCCCAGAGCATGCCTGCTCACAACGGTAATGGAAGGCAAGTGGACAGCAAGCTCACACTTTGCAGATTAGTATCTCAGCAGCTGAGGTCTTTCATCTGACAGAGCACTGACAGCAGCAGGAAGACTTGTTCATGCTTCCTTCATCATGAGTGTTAATGGGGCTCTGTGTTCTGGCTGAGATATCAGGACAAGGACTTAGTGGACTCAAAAATCTTTCTTTTTTTAAAATAATAAAATTGACTAGACTTCTGTTGAACATGACATTTTTCAGGGGCTGGGTTCATCCTACATAGTCCACTGAAGAGTAATAAAATATTTTTCAGTCAGTACTAAGCTAAAAAAGCTAAAATATATCTCAGAATATCAAGTCCAAGACAAATTAGAACTGTGTTATCAAAAAGACATTTTAAAAGGTTTCATCTGTAGAAGGCACAGAGATCTTTCTCAATTCAGTAAAGAAAACATTTTGTGATTTTTTGTTTTACAGCCAGGTAATTCCATACCATGCATTCACTGAGAGCAAGCATACTGAGCACCCAATGGTGTCCTTTCCCAACTGCAATATCTTATAATACTTAATATACACTATCCCTATGTTCTTCATTAAAAAACTATTATCTTTTTCATTTTCTCCATACGCACTATTTTTGTGAATAACATCTTAAAAGCAGTCTATTAACATATGTAATTAGTGTGTCCTTTTTTGCAACACCAGATGAGGTGTGGGGGGGATGAAGTTGATTCTTCACTGAGTCTGGAAGTTCTCAGAGAGCAGACAGCAACGGAGTTCAGATCTAAACAATAGCTGTGAATTTGATTGTTGCAATATTGTTAACTGAAGCCTTCAGTAAAACAGTTTGATAGAAATCCGTGTTGGAGAATGGAACACAATAAATAGTTCTGTAATTCAGTATCTCAGAGCAATGAACAACAGTACAGCCAACCTTCAATAATTTGTCTCTTGTCTCTCCATGGTTCCTCTCCTATAACATAGATGCAGAGAATGTTTTATCAAAGCATTTCAGATATGGCTAAATGCATAAGCTACACATTTTTAGAGCTTTTAAGGTACTTAAGCTCTGAACCTACTAGAATCTAGTAGGGACCACATATTATAGAAAAGAGGGTCTTGAGATCCTGAAATAATGGAGTACACTCAATCTCTATTGTATTCTAAATTTTGCTGGAGTAACAATAAATGAACACAGCCTCCCCATCTCAAATGTTTCAGTCAGTTGAAAGGGAGTCAGTGAATAGGGGATAACAACTTATCTGACCAATATCAATTCTGTCTGGGGGAGGTTACCAGTGAAATTCCAGGAATAATTCAAATATTGGAATAACAACTCTCTTAATAGAAGCAACAAATATTTGATATTTCATCATTATGTAGAGAGTACTTCATGATGAGTATCAGTGGAAGAGGTCTCTGCCTTCTGACTTCATTTGGTGTAACAGCAACAACAAAATAACAAGCCCAGAAATACAAGTTTTCAGTATTCTTTATTAAGACATATGTATTTGCAAGTGAGATGGTCTCATCTCCTACATTTTCCAGAGGAAAAGAAGAGGAAGGGACAGGAGTTAATTTAGTTTTGAATGGAGCACTTTACTCTCTAGAGCAGTTGCAATCTATCAGATCTCACACCCTTGCCATCAGTTTGATTATGTTTCATAAAATTGCTTATGTCTTGATTTAATTCAAATTATTTCTGTAGGAGACCTGTAAGGAAAAAAAAAAAWAGTAATCAGAAACTTTCAAGGATTGAATATCAGACTAAATATTCTTCAAAAAGAATACTTACTAGGCTAAAGAAATCCTTGACTCATTTCCTGAAATAATTACGATATTGGATGATGTGCATTTTGTATTCTTGACTATAGTAAAAATGGGAACAGCTTTTTATTGTATGTTGTTATGTAAAGAAAAAAATACAATGTTCTACTGGTATGCAAAAAGTATATACGAAGCAGTCTTGTATGACGAACATATAAAACTAGGTACAGCAGAATTATGCAGTATGCTGTCCCTCACAAGCAACAAAATCAAAGAGCTTTCACAAATGAAACAATAGCATCCATTATACTGTCTCAGAATTTGTATGCTTCATAATTAACGTTATGAGGAGAGGAAAACTATATTCTGTAAGAGCAGTGCAGATAAGAGACATTCATAATACCTACCATGCAGTCCATTAACCTCAGCAATTTTAAGCAGCATCACAGTCATCCATGACATTTCAGATTTCTCACAGCTTCAAGTCTGTGGGCAGCTTCACAAGCTTTTTGCAAAGTTTCTCATGACTAGGACATCTGTAAAATTCCCTCCAGACCTTTCTTCAATTCATCTCTTGTTATACGCTTCAGGAATCCACATATCTGAATAAGGATATAGGTATGCCTTAAAACCATGCTCTACTGAACACAATACTGACATTTAAAAAAAAATACTGTTAATTTTAAGTGCTATAAGATAGTAAAAGCATACTGTTTCATAATCTTACCTTTTCTGTCCTGTTTTCAAGTGAGTTTTTGAGCAGCTTTCGCAGTTGAGCCACACAGTGAAGAGTCAAAGCAACTGGATATACATCTTCTGACTTTTAGCAACTAGTCCACCCTTTAACATAGTTGTYTTCAAAGGTTTTAGCAATCTCACTATTTAGGTGAAAAAATATACATATTTATAGTTATATTAGACAGTGCAACACTGTCTGACATGTTGCTTAGAGACAATAGCTCAAGGAAGACTCCAAAAATATTCAACAAAGTATAGAAGTGTGTATRAGTGGCTAGTATTTTAATGTTCTGCTTTAATATCCTGCAAAAGTGACTCCTAATCCAGAAGAAGACAGCACTGGGAACCCACTTCTCTTTAGATACAAAAAAGTCAAAATTCAGTCTTTTTTTTTTTTTTTTAATTTCCATGTAGATGCTCCTGAGTTTGGCTTCTCTCCTGAGGTTTATTTGCTGAGTATTTTCCTTATTTAATAACCATTAAAAAAAAAGAGAATTAAATGTCAAATTTTATTCCTGGGTATGTACTCAGGATCAAAGTAACTCTTGATACAGCACTCAGTTGTTAATTTCTCTGATCCATAGAGGAGAAGAATCGGTGCATCTTCATTAATTCTGTCCTCATGAAACAGGTATCATTTTTTGGCATGGAACTGATTCATATTTCATCAACAAAATTGAAGCAGAACTACTATAACAAGAACACCTTTAAGTTAGCTCTCTTAGAACATAGGAGCCCTGCTTCCTTTTCATGAAAACTTTTATTATGAATACGTCACTGAAATAAGCACAGGAGAGGGACTTACCTGAAGAAACATTTAATAATGGTGTTTAAAGGAGTTCAGAGATCTGAACTCACAGAATGTGATGCATCTTCCTCTCTGGCTGCAAGTGCTAAATACTGCTCTATTGCAGAACTAAATATAATATAACATTAATAAGATACTTAGATTTCTAGACAATATAAGTCTACAAATTGTAAATAAAAGTAGATTTGGTGTATGACTGTGGAGCACAGACGAAGTTAGTGCTGGAGGAGAAGTGGCAAAATAATATATACTCTCTCAAAAGACAGGTTCAACCTCTCCAACTTGCTGTTCACCTTGTGTGATGCCAATCTAGCATCTCCAATGGCATAAGAAAGGACACTTTTAACTGGTCTGGAATGAATTTTAAAAACCTAGTCCCTTAGCTCTGAGTCTAGGATTTTGGATCTAAGGGCTTAAAATGGCAAAATTCAGATTTTTTTAAAGAACTGAATGTGTTTGTACTCTCATGACTGGAGGAAAGAAAGAGAGAAGTGATCTGAGCACAACAAAGAAGGTCAGTTGCTTGAGACCTTGTCTGAAAAAAAAAATCAAATTTGCAACAACTTAATGGCATCTAGGTGTAATTCACCAATTCCTAATTGAACAGAAGTAATCACATCAACCAAGTCAGCTTGCTTCGCKGGAGCAGCACCATGTCAAACCATGCAATGCCAGTATAAAAATAAAATCCCTGTTATAAAATAGGCATAAAATCCCTAAACTCTTTATTCCATGCAAGAAATAGCACTTCCTTTTAGTAGGAAAAATATGGCAGAATTCTATGCTTTTGTCGAGAGAGAGGTGTTGTAACCAATGTCTCAGCCTCTCAGCTTCATGTTTGTRGTTCTCTTGAATCTGTACAAACAGCTCTTTTGGAGGTTGTGCAGCAGAACAAAATTGCACATTTGTTTGATATACAGGAGATGATACTGAAAGCAAATAACGTTCAGAGAAATATGTTATTTGTACTTTCTTTAGTGTATCCCAACAGTGTCCAAAATTCACCATTTATTTTCCCAAAGATCTGTAAACTAAAAATAAACACTAAGAACATGTTTGATAAAACGAGTATCCATATTTGAAGGAGACACACTTTCTAAAGGTCGTTTCTTGTAATGTTAGACTGATCACCACCTGATTAAATTGCCTACTGCTCCAGACTTAATAAGAGACCAAAAATTCTCAATGGTAATTGGAATAGCCRATGTCTTTAAAGAGAGAAAGGGAGTGGGTTGCTGGTTGATGCACAGAAGAAAGCTTATTAGTGTGGAGGTGGGAAAAGTCCTTACTGAGAAAAACAATTAAAGACTATTTTATTTGTAAAACATTGAGTTTTTATTTGTTCTATTTTATTGTAATCTCGGATACCCTATCAACACCATAATAGGGGAAAAAAAACAAAACCAATAAGCTAGTTCTCCTCTTCAATCACATACTGCATGGTAAATTTAATGACTTCACATTTTTCAGTATAAAAGATATGTAAATATAGTCAAGAACACTCTAATTTTTGTGTGTGTTGTCTTTTATTTCTAGAAAAGTGTACTGCTGAAAATAAAAGCCACTCTTAGGAAACTCAAATACACAAAAAGATACAGACTGTGAAGAGTTGTGCAAAGGCTGATGGCATACGACAGACTCAGTACATTAAAAAAATAARAAATAATTGAAGCTTAATTAACAAATTCCCATGAAGGCAATGGGTATTATCTACACTCTTACAAAAGGATATTCAAAGAAGTTTTCACTCAGGATTGAAATAGCACTAAAGTCAATCACAGTTAAGTCTATGACCAGATGTGTTAGGAAAAGAATAATGAAAGGGCAGTCTTTATTAAAACTAACTATTTTTGAAACACTTTCTGATTTCTACCCCTGCAAAAGAAGTAGTTTTCTTCAAATATTAATTAAAAGAAGTCCTGTGAACTGTTATATACAAAAGGTCAGGAAAGACAACTGCAACAGATCTTCTGAGTTCATAATCAACAGAAATACTGACACGTTTGTCTTTAAGCCTCTACTTCCATCTTGATATCTATATTTTATCCTGACTCCAGAATATACATAAGAAGTCTGGACTGGCTTACTTGTCAAGTTAAAATGTATCATGAAATCAGTATTTTACTTTATTACCAGGAAAAAAAAAAAAAAAAAAGTTGTACAAATATCACTGAAAAATGGTAATTCAGTGGCTCCAAATTAAAGGAAAAAAAATACATCTTTTAGTCTTTTAATCTTTGGGAAACCAAATCCAGATACAAGCAATTCCCATTGGGTCTACTATTAGTTCAGTTTACACAGACATCACTATTGGCATCAGGCTCAAGGAGAATACGAGGGGGGCAGAATTCAAGCARCTATTATCAAGTGGGCAATATAAAGAGACTTTACTGTTGATTTGGGCTTACTAGTGCCATTGCATTATAAGGGATCACAAATAATCTAAAAAATAATCACAAACAAAAAAGGGGCCAGGCATCACAATAGCTCAGATGGAGTGAAGAAGAGTTTCAGCTAAGAAAATATTTTTCTGCTTTGAAAATATTCTGGCTTGTCCAATTAACCAAAATTACCTTTCCTATCACCAAATGGCATGGCAGTCAAACTCCAGAGGCTTGGAGTAGATCCCTAAGTCCATGGTATGACCTCTTCACTTCTCTGCCCATGGGAATTCTGAAAGGAAGAACCCTTGGAAGAGTCCTCATGAAGCCTGTTCCTGCCTGGGAATTACAACCTAACTATGTTTCTGCTGTAATTGAACTTTCAAGACTATGTTTCGCAAGTGGTTTATAATCTGGGAGAGTAGAGGCGAGAGGGAGAAGGAGGGAAACAAACAAACAAAAACCTCTATAAATGCTAGCTAAAATGCTGAAGTATAAAATTTCTAGGACTTTTTCCATATTTCTTGAATTTCAGTGGCATTAGAAGAGAACCATTCAGTGATTGAATGTGCAAATTGCTGCCTTAGAGAGTCAACACTTGACAGAACAAATGGAAGAGAAACAAGGTAAGGGTATGACAGGTATAACTACTAAATTGTGCAGTGGTTATTTATTTCACCTCTAAAGAGAAGACATGTTTTATTGTTCACTCTCTATGAATTCTATTCTGTAAGCCTGATTTCTGAATATACTAAAAGACCCCTCACAGTTTAGAGAAGTACTACCTGAACATAAATAGCATTTATAGTAAACTTACAGGTGTCACATTACAAAGCTTAAGAATATCAGGTAGATAAAGTCAAACAAATCTCATTTCACATATTTCAGTCACATATAGGAATAATGAAACATTACAACATAATAGAGAAAAGGAAAAAAAAATACCTGCATCATACYAAATTTCATTTTATTCTCTGAGAGGCACACATAGCCATTAATTTTGCAGACTACATATTAAGTTAAGGACATTTAGTTATGAAATCCCTGTCAGCGAATTAGTAACTGTCAAGAATCTGTTCATCACAACACTTGTTTCTTCTTGATTCAGTTTAACTTTACCAAATCTGAATATTAATGTACAACAAAAATAGTAGTCTTTGCATGGAAAAGTTATGTGTTTCACTGAAGACACCCCCACTTCCTCCTACCAAACAGCTGTGTACAATAGTATATTCCAAACATTTTATTCAATACTGTAATATCAAAGAATGGCTGGGGTAAAAGGAAGTCTTTTTGTGAGAAACACTGTTCAGTCAAGGCATTTCAACACAATTTTATTTTATTTACCACTTAYAAAGCTGCTATAAAGTTACATAATGTATTCTAGGCTAGAATTAATCTCCGATAGAGCTATTATTTGAAAGAATCTAAATAATTAAAGGCACTTTCTACACCATCTATTGGTGAACCAGAATGAGGCATCAAACTGGTCTTCTCATCAGGAAAATAAATATTATAGGTAGAGGTAAAAATGTGTTATTAATCTACTATTCAAATACATGAGGGGGAGTAGAGACCAGTCGGGAAACACACTTCAGATCCAGAACCAGACGAGCAAACTGCAAAACAGATACGTGAGACAGGAATCACACAGCTATCTCAAGGCTATTTGGTGAGACGATGAAGTACGTGACACCTCGCTAAGCACAACAGCATGATCTGAAATGCAAGTATTTGGTTGATATTGAGAAAAGTTATGGGATGGCTCTCTCCTCTGTGGACATGTGAAGTTAAGCTCAGAGGTTCACACTATTCATATGCCCCTATTCATTTCAGTATGTGAGGAGTTTGTAGGGATAGTCTGAAGGCTCAAAGGGTGATTCTGGGAAGATTTCTTTCAGGATAGGATTTTCATCCAGTACAAGCTACAACTAGTCATGTTCTCAG